AGGATGAGTTTTTCTACTAGACACCCTTATTGCTATATTTTTGCAGTTATTTCTAGAATCCTTTGCATAAAATTATTTTATCCTTATTAAATTAAAAAAGCATTTCCTTCTTATTTTTATGTAAATCGGAAACTTTTATTAAATTTGAAAGCAAAATATGTTAGCGTCATACTTTATTAAATGCCAAAATTTACCTCAACCACTAGTTTAATAATGACAGGAATTTATTTTTATTACTAAAATAAGAAAGCATTACGTTGAAACGAACGATAAGCATCCACGCAAATTTGATACAACTTATGTTTGTAGTTTCTACTATCAAATTTGAAAAAACAAGAACAAGCATGCATTTAAAATAGTATGATAATTTTCTTCCTAGTTATTTTTGATTTGTTTCTAGTGATAATTTGAAAAATGGTACTTCAAATTTTTTATTTTCCCGCTTCTTATTATTTCTGGCAAATTGAATGTGTAAAAGTAAAACAATGCGAGAGTATCTCAACATCCAAGAATATGTAATGAGAATACACAGTTCATTAGTGATATTTGATATTTCAAGATGGGAATTAAGCAACGAGAATAAAAATGACTGTTTAATTTAACATATGGCAAGAATTTCTTACATATTTTCAAACGATGTAAGCCTCATTAAAGAATTATATAGGGCATGTCGTTCTATTAGTTTAGAACAAAAAGTGATTGTTCGGCTATATTGATTTGATAGAATAACAATTTAAGAAGGTAACATAAGTTATGTTTTTATCATTTGTGTGTATAATACCCTCCCCGCTTGTATTAGTGAAAGTGCAGAATAATGTTGCTAGCCGGGATATATATTTCTAAGCGCGAACTAATTGCTTGGTGTAGCTCCATATTTACCACAGGCTCCGCAACTACTCTACTCATTGTCCCTATTATAGCACATTGGGCTCAACGCTACATAAATGTAAAAAGATTTTTGAGCTCCGCAATAAAAATTTGTTTTTACAATATTTTATAAGCGTCATCACACTACTGGAGTGCTAATGTGCAAAAATGAAAGTGTTCTCACGAACGTTTGCATCAGTTGATGAATCTGTGCTATATTTATCGATCTCATCTACCATCATTTTAACAAAAAATTTGCTGGAATCGTCCTTTTCATGCAGATATGTTATTATAAAATCCCCGGTAGCTAAAGATTGATATTATCTGTTGTTTCGCATCGTAATTTCCCAAAAAAATTCGGCTGTTCAAATGTATTGTTTGTTCATTAATGAGGAGTATTTTATGCAAAGAAATATAGGCATGTATGTCTTGGTTTACAACACTATGTATCCGTAACAGCAAAGCTGAACAAACTACTATTGGTAACGAATTAGCGCTGCTTGAGGATAATAGATCAGCTTTTGTAGTTATTTCATAATTGTCCTTTCTACCTGTAAGTGTGTTTTACTGTTACTGTTCAAAATATTTTTATTCTTACAGTGCTTTTAGCTATACTGAACTCATTTTGAATAATCAAGCTTAAATTCCAGTTGTGAAGATGAATATTTGTGCTTTGTAGGCGGCACATTCCCCAGGACACGGAGCAATTGTACGAGATGAAAAAAAATAAAATACTTTTCATGTAAGCAAATCAAGCAAACAAATTATCCTATTAGAAATATTGTCAAGGAAATTTACATTTCGACATCATAAAACAAGGAATTGAAAGCCAGTTAACTAGTACTGTATGATACTATAATATAAAAAGAAATTTTCTCAAATTCATGCCGAGATACAAACAATGGTAATTTTTATTCTCTCCTATAACAGTTCTCATCCATTTGTTTAAAAATAAATAGAAAATATTCTAATGTGCCCGTAAAGAGCAATACTGTGCAGCATACATTATGTGAAGTGCAGTTATTGTAGTAAAGGCCATTTTGATTGTACAATTAACAGTTTAAAAAGGAATGATTTTCAGTGGTCCTGGTTTTTCTGAAGTGTGAGCAAAGTATTTATAGATGCAAAAAAGCGTTGTTTTTATACTACTACAGCAAAGCAATCCCTCTTAAAATCAAGCCCCTAAAGTGATTCTACTTGAAAGTAACCGTTTGTGTAGCGAAATGAAAAACAAGTTTAAGTATTTTCAAAATGACAAGTTGTTTTTTTTTTCAGTTCAAACCACCATAAGAGAAACTTGATTTGCCTTATATCATACCACGGAGATCGCATAAAAGCAGGTATCACCTGATACCTTGGTACTACATGAATGCAAGAAATTTAATAGATAAATCAGCAAAATGCACTTTTTTGTTAATCTGGTGGTGTTTTGCTCATATCTTGAATATAACTTCAGATTTAGCAGGTTGGCATGGAGCCATATACCACAGAGGATGTTTCAGAACAATCGCGCGAGCTTTCACCTGTCATAGATGCAGAGTACATTGATTCGAAATCAAATGCTTTGCATCGACTATTCAGCTGTCTCCATCCGCAGAGTATTTCGGAGCTGGAGAAGAAAGATGACAATCAATATGCAGGGATCACGTCATACTGCACGAATCTTATTCGTCGCGGTCACAAAAGTTTTGTGGAAGCTGCTGCAAAGGAAGAGGATTTAGAATTCCTATCATCGTCTGATTTACGATTAGATGAGGCCGAAATTGGTGAATGCAACGAACGAAATGGCGTGATTCCCGAAATTTTTAACGTTGAACACAATGGATTTTTCTTTAATAGAATATTAATTATTAAGCCTCCCTCAGTTAACGCCAACTCTTCTTACCCGAATATTGACGACTTATCAAGCGAAGTGCCTGGAAGTACAATTGACACAACTGGTATAAAGCAATTTCTTATTGTACCTAATGAAATTGAAGCGGAACTTCCTAGTACAGCTGATATACAAGCTTTTTTTGATATGCAAATAAGCCTTTTGCGCAAATACGTTGCTGATGAAAGAGAATTCGCGGCCGCAAGGTGCTTGAACGATCTGGAAAATACGTTACTCTGTTGCTTGCAACGCTTTTGTTTAAGCGTCAAGCCTACAGAAAAAGTGAATAACTTACAGCAGACACTCCAGTATTACGTTGACAAAATTAAATCTGACAATACAATAAAACAGCTAAGGCTGAACCACAGTGTTGCTATTTTTCTTTTTGAATCATTTCATCTTGATTATATGAGAAATGCACTCAACGACATAACCTGGGCTGATCTAAGTTGTAATATGAAAAGTAAAGAAGTGCTACTCATGGAGCAGCAGTTGCATTACAATAATTCTTCCCTTCTATCAGCAAGTCAAACGTTATTCCAAATGGGTAGTGGAGGTAAGTATTAACATACACCAGCGTGTGGTAGCAATGACTGAAGACATTTATCGCGGAAAATTTAGTTGCATCTGCACATCTTCCATATATTCGCAATCATATCGAACAGATGAAGGCTGTGATGCTAACACTGAAAAGGCTTTAAAATCAACTAAAAAAAGACACTTTAGACTCAAGAAATCCTTTGGAAAAGGAGTCTTTAGAAAGTTGGGGTCTAAACGAATTCATTTACATCCCAGCAAACATCAGGACAACGATGGATGGATTAGAGATGGAGGTATGGGTATTGTTAAATTTGCGTAAACTTTAGACATCAAGCATTTTATAAAATTGCAAAACATACCTTCAATGGCGTCAAAACAATCAAAGTTGGTATTATTATTTTTCTTCAGGAAAATTTGTGGATTTAGCATATAGAAGCGAAAAAAATTTGTCTGTTAGTGTGAAAGTTCGGGGGAAGTTGCCATATCCACTTTTGCAAATACTTGCTATTCTAAATGAGACTGACTTGGCAGAGAATTGGGCACCATTACTGACTTCAGCTAAAATGGAATGCCGTCTCGGGAAAGCTAGTCAGATTATTAGTCAGGTAATAAATACTATAAACAAAAATTCCATGCGCTTTTCTTCCCCTTGTTTGCCACTTTACTTATTCATAAAAGACAAATATATCAAGGAAATTCGTTGAAGTAGGCTCCGCCTACTTTTTATTAAATCACTTCAATTCTACCTGTCCACACTAACTAGAAGTTTTACGTAATTCAAAATTAGCCTGGTTAGCTACCAAGTATATCCACAAAAATGACTATTCTTTATTTCACTCAAATTCAACAGGTCTATGATTATCCAATTTTGGGTCAAAAAGAGAGTATAAGTTATTGTTTTGGTGTTAATGCTTTAGAAGAGTTTGGATGTGTGATAGTCTTCTGCACACAACCACCAGAGGAAGAATTTCTTCAGCAAGCTTGCGAGCTACCACAGAAGAAAAGTAAAATGGCACGCGCGCGAGCAGCAGATTTATGTTTTCTTTTGCATCCGAGGAAGCTGGGAAACTGCACAATCCTGGAAATGTATGCAAATTTTCAACATAATATAGCTTTTATCCCTTCTCGCATGATAGCATTCGTTGTGAAACGATTAGTAAAATCAATGTTTGTTTCAATTGCAAAGCTAGGCAAGGCGTTCGAAAGTAGTGCCTATGCTCGGCGTGTCGAGAGTAGACCAGAATTTTATTCATGGATGAGTGATTACTTGCAAAAATATTATTCAAAAGAGCAAAATGAATTTGTAAAGTGTTCAGAAAATGCAAGCCTATCAAGTTTTGACGATATTGCTGCAATCGAATAAAAATTACTTTTCTTAGCAGGCAAATACAAACTTACAACCAAACTATTAAGGATACTGTTAGTGTAAGTGCTTTCGCGTTAAAATTGTACACGCTGTGAACAATTTATCCTCAATGCGCTGTAGTCGAATTTTGGGGATAATAATGGTACAGAAGCGCAGAACATTGCATATTCCTTCTGGATAGCTGAATTTGACATAAAAGAAAGCAAGCTTTCATTTAAAAAAATACAGAGCAACAGATGTAAGAAAGCTTACGTTGGTTATAAGCAACGACTAAGTGGAATGCAGAACAAATTTCACAATAAAATTTGCAAGTCGATTGAATATTTGGAAATGCAATTACGAAAAAGAGGTAGTGGTTCTATGGTGTAGGGGTAGCACTGCAGACTCTGAATCTGCCGACCTGGGTTCGAATCCCAGTAGGACCTTAAATTAGTTTAATACTGCCGCGAAAAGAGGAATAAGGATTATGTTTTTTTGTCGCTAAAATTTTGTCTCAACGAAGTTCGTTTGCAGAGTTATAGAACGACAATACGACTTTAGCGCAACAAATCTGCGTTGGTGCATAAGATGCGTTGACAGAAGTGGGATTCGAACCCACGCCCTTACGGACCGCGGCCTGAACGCGGCGCCTTAGACCACTCGGCCATCCTGTCGCAAATTAATTATTTTTTAAATATTTCAAATAAAAATATTTCATTGTGCTTTTGCTTTCAATAATGAGGGGCAACATGTATACGAACATATTTCAGCACTTCACAATTTACTCTTTTATATTTAAGTTGCTGAAGGTTAGCTTTTCTGCAGTATTTTCGCATCCATTTTTGAGTATATGGCTGACAAATTTGCACTAATCTAGAGGACTTTAGATAAAATCTTCTTATTATACACTTCCGATCATTTTGTTCTTTTCTTATTGCAGTCATTTCATGTGGCTTTGAGGCCTGAGATTTGTTTCAAGTATTTCGCAAAATGTGGAAAAAGATGAATTTCTTTTATCCCACAGTATAGTGATGCTCTTATTTTTCTTGTTGAATTTATTCGACTTTTTTGAAACATGATACGAAAACGGTATGAGTTGACCTGACAATTCACACAATCTACTGCGTATTCCGCTTCTTTTCATCCGTATGCGATAGACGGAGAAGAAGGATTTTTCAGCTCGCATACATCTCTGTTTAAAGTTTTGACTCTTCTTCAATCTTTGCGGTTGTTTTTTATCGAATTTGGTGCTCTATGTTCTTTCTGCTCTTCCATTTTTGTCCGTTGTTACAAGTAAACTTTTTGAATTTGAGATCGCCGTGCATACATGTACAATTACTGACTGATTGTCGGCGCTACTTTAAAGACGCAAGTTCTGCTTTCAGCAAAGCGCTTTGATAGCAGGTTTTGCAAGGTTTTTTTTGAAAGTACAAAAAAATGTTTTAAAATTGATAAAAACTGCAAATGCTAGGCTTTCAAATGAGAGCATTGTCTTTATCATATATATTCTGTTAGTGCGATATCGCTGAAAGCGGGAAAGATTTATATAAAACTTGTGCTGAACGTGTATAATTTTTACATAACGTCATGGCATTTTCCAATATTATATTCTGAACGCATGATGACTCGATAGATCCCACTCTATTATATAATTGCCTCTAATTCATGGATAAAATTCACAGATATTTATAACAGCCGAATGTTTTGGTCCTTTGTTTATTATCTGTACATTTGTAAATTGAAAGCACTTAAATTTCATGTGTTAAGCGAGAAATTTAAATGGATATTGGATAAGATTATACTTTTATTAGAGTCGATTACTGTGTTCATTGGGACTGATTTTCTATATGTTATTACTTTATGCTTTTCCTGAATGGATGAAATTATTTCAGATCCCAATAATCACCGGAATCAACGGGTACATCTTTCTCAAACTACCGCCACTGCTGCTGCTGTTTTTCCCCATTCCGAAAACATTCTTTCTTCGTATGACAATCCTGATTTATCTGTCACAAGCAATATTGATAGCCTAGAATGGAGAAGGGGAACTCCATTGTTTGATACAGAAGAAAATGATATAACTGTTTCCTCGCTGAACCTTCGATCTCCTCATACCTCACGAAATCTCCAATCGGCAGAAAACATGGCGGAATCGAGTAGCCATAACACTGCACATACGAAACCTTTAGCCGTAGAGAATGATGAAGAAGGAGTGTCGAAAAAAAGCATTTCTCCAGAGCCGACATCGAGCGTTACTGCTGCGCCCAGCCCTAACACCAAGTCCGTCCCCAAAGGCTCTTCTTCTGATCCTACTACTGCTCAGCCTACATTTGAATGTAACATATGTTTTGATACAGTTTCAGAACCAGTGGTTACTCGGTGTGGTCATCTGGTATGTTTTTAAAGGAATATACTTTTTTCGTGGTATATTCAGGGAATGTGGTTCTGTTTTCTTAATAAATTAGCCAGATGTATCTTATAGTCTAATTTTTACTATTGTAAAGCGTTTTATTTATCCACTCTGTAAACTGGAATATGTGTAATTGCAGTGCATTTTAAACGCGGATAGAAGATCTTTTTGTTACAATTTTTATGTATAACAAGAAAATTATTGTGATTGTTTACAGTTTTGTTGGCACTGCTTACATTCATGGCTAGTTGAAAGAGTTTATGAGTGCCCTGTCTGTAAGGCTGGAATGACGGAAGAATCTCTCATCCCTCTCTATGTTCGGGGCCAAGATGCCTCCACTCGACAGTAAGACTGATCTCGATTATCATTTTTGCTGTTGTATTATTTGAATGAATGAAGAAGCATCGATTTAGATTTTCAGTGGTGGATCATTTCTCAAGTAAAGCTTTTTTTGAATGTATATAGAGCAATAACTACGGCGAAACGCCCTCAAGCCCAACGTTTAGAAGTACCTCAGCACCGTAGAGAGGTCTAGTTTATTTACTATTTTGTAGATGTATATCATAAAAAGCAAAGAATCTATGGATGGTATTGCTTATGTATGGATGTTATTTCGTATTTAAGATGTTTTTTATGTGCTTTTCATAACTGGAAATTTTCTCTAACTTGAAATCCTCTATGTTGTGAATGCCGAAATATATGTATATAAAAAAGAAGAAGACCATTGCTTGTTTGCTCATCTTTTCAGCCTGGCCTTATTGGCGGCTTGCGGCTCTCTTTTGAGTTTTTAAGCCTAGGCTTGGGTGCTTCCTTATATAATATGGATGATAGCATGATGCAGGTGCCTCGTTATTTTGCAACTAATAATGCAAGTAAGAATTATCGTTATAGTATTAAGATGATATCGAAATGTTTGTATTTTTCGTATACTTTGAAAGTTTACACTTTCCGGTATATGTATGTTCGGTATGGGAGTAGTGGGTTTTCACTCATTGATATTTCAGGAAACAAATTGCTGCTTCAGTTTGCTGTGTAATGGTCTTTTTTTTGGTATATCTACGTTGTTTTAGATTGTTTTACATTTTATTAATAGTTTTGAACTTTGGAATTTTCATTTATTCGCTCCAATTTTCATCTTCTTCAATAACTTTGGTTATGCATGATTATCCTTTTCAGATAGAGCTATTGATCGATCACAGTTTGTGTCATGGTTTTTTTTAGTCATAGGGTTGTTGATGGCTTTTTATTTGTTAGCCGCATAGGCTGAATTACCGGAAACATTTCCTTATTATGCTGAATAGACGAGCAAATATGTTTTTTGCTTGATTCTTTGGATGATGATTTCGTAGATTAGTTTTTCGGATCCTATGTAGAACGAAATTGTTTCCGATGGAACCTATGTGTAATAATGCGTTTGATTTTTAAATGCGAATTTATTGTAATTGTTCATTATTTTTTGTTTTTAGCAAGCTTAGATTTTTTAGTTCTGCTTAAAATTAAAGGGTTTCGTTTTTCAAAACCTTAAAAATACTTTGGTAGAATTAGCAAGGATTTTCTATCTTTCCTTATTCCGTTGATTTTGCCTGTTGATCAGCGTGAGAATGCTGCCGCATCAAAATCTTTCCTGTACCAACGCAAATGCTATGCTAGTATAGAAATTCTTTAGCTTGCTTATTTTACTATCGTACTCAAAATTTTCTTTTCTCCTGATACATATAATGTCTCCTAATACTGTCATGATGAATAAATTGCGGTTTTATCTTTTATTTGTCAAGATGGGAATATTCATCCAATCTCCACTATGAAGCAAGTTGGAAGTGTAGGGAGTTGATATGAAGATTACTTAAGCTTTAATCACAGTTAGAAAAATAAGTATTTTGAAGAGCGAAGAGTTTAATGTTTTGCTATCTGTGGCAGAATCATTGGATGACTACTGTAAGGGACAAACATGTTACATCGAAAAATGAAGCTGAACTTTAAGTAGCAATACGCTTTAAGGTTGTATTGCTCATTGAGAAGTAAACATGAGAAGTGCATTTGCTTAATAGCACAATGCAAAAGGGTTGAATCTGCTGTGGCATGCTGAAATGTACAGTTTTCTCCTTTTCCACACCAGTGCATACAAGAAATAAATGAATGCTTTGCTATTCTAGCTACGCTCTCTGACATTAAGCAAAGACCCCATTGGTATGTGTAGCTAGATGCAGGTAAGGAGATTCTGACTTCAAAAAATTTTGATACAAATCCACACTAAAAATTCAAGATCCGCTTGGCACAAAAACTGGTGTTTTCATTCAAATGCATCAAACGGAATGAAGAGGAACGCACTTTAATTAAGCACGTTGATTAAAGGCCTTGTAGAATATGACATAAGAAACATCCGTATAAAAAACTCTGATAATCAGATTTTATTTTTGACCGACCTAATATCCATTGTCTTTAACTTGCAAAGTACGTACGTACTATATCAATGAAAAGCATCAATTTTACCAAATTTACCTAGGTTAATTTAAATTTGGACAACTTTCTGCTCATTGAGATATGAATATTCATTTTAATAGAATAAGCCCAGACGCAAATTGAAATAGTTCGTTTTATAATAATGAAGTTAGTCTTCTTCTTTCATCTGGTATTACACGCACCTCTTCCTCAATTGAATGTTTTTAATCATCTAGGTTGTTTTCGTCGCTAATCGGGCTGTCGGTTGTGTTCGCGTGCATTCAAACACATTCCGTGTCATCGCGCTCAAACTATTATTGCTTAAAAATACAGGTTACGGGGTATCTATTTTTTACACCTACCTTAGATTACTCATCATATACACTACTACTCAAAACTGATATCTACAATTTTATGATGGTTACATGTTTTAAGAAGATGCTTTCAATAGTGAAGATACGAAAAATCACAAGTTGATTTCGCACCTAATCCAATGTTAACATCAGGTAACAGCAGCCAGTGACTTGCCCCTCATTTTTAATTAGCGCTTTATTCAGGTGGCACAAGTGCTCGGCCTAAAAAGTTCATTTTTTGCTC